TATCCGAGACATGTTCATGTAGTCTTGTTTTTAATTGTCTCTTAGTTTGTCCTACATAGCTAGCTTCACAATTCTCACAGGATATTTTATATACAACATTTTGATTGTGTGTGTAATCCAACTTATCTTTACCTCTTGTAATGTAATTTTTTAATGTATTCGGAATAGTATAAGCAAGCTTGCAGTGTAACATACTGGCAACAGATTTAAACTTCTCAGAAACATTGTTAATAAAAGGAATAGCGAAAAATTTATCTGGAATATTATTATTATTAGAATTAATATTATTAATATGGTATTTTAACCTATTGTGAATTGTAAAAAATATAAATTGAGGAGGATATCCATTTTGTAGAAAAATATTAATGGCATCTACTAAATTATTTCTTTGAAAAGTTGGATGACACACTCGTAAAATTTTATCCACAACACCATACATAACACCTCTTTTATGACACGTAGGATGATGGGAATGAAAATTAAGGTATCTTCCTGAGAAAGTGGGTTTGTGATAGCAATCAAAAATCAAACTACTCTCCTTTACAATAATCATAGTATCTAAAAAGCTTATTTTTCCTTCTTTGCCAATTTCAATAGTAAATTGTAATCTTGTATGTAACGAATTAAAAACATCTAATGTTTCATTGATACTCATCAATGACACATTAGATGCTTTTAATTCGTTACATACAAGATTACAATTTACTATTGAAATTGGCAAAGAAGGAAAAATAAGCTTTTTAGATACTATGATTATTGTAAAGGAGAGTAGTTTGATTTTTGATTGCTATCACAAACCCACTTTCTCAGGAAGATACCTTAATTTTCATTCTCATCATCCTACGTGTCATAAAAGAGGTGTTATATATGGTGTTGTGGATAAAATTTTACGAGTGTGTCATCCAACTTTTCAAAGAAATAATTTAGTAGATGCCATTAATATTTTTCTACAAAATGGATATCCTCCTCAATTTATATTTTTTACAATTCACAATAGGTTAAAATAGATGGAACTCTCAGATGGAACCACTAAGATAATGTCATCAACATATCGGTAATAAAATAAAGGATGGAACGGAACCCAGCTAGCAAGGTCACGTGATAATGACGTGAATTTTTGGTACAAATAACGTCAATTATGACATAAAAGTAACGTTATTCTGACGTATATATCACGTGATTATGTCACATCTTATTGACGTTATTTATTACGTCAGGAAGACGTAAATATGACTAAAAAGTACTATTAGTGTCACTACTAGTGCAATAATGCAGTAGTAAATTCGTATATACTTCGTGTAGAAATTTAAGTAGAATACCGGTCAGTTTTCCCTAATTACTGAAAAAAAAATTTTCTCTAAATTCGAGAATTAAATTTTTTTCATGATACATCCCAAACGGTCACCCATCCGAAGTTGTACCACGACCTCGCATGCTTAACCTTGACAATCGTACGGGAACTGCTGTACTTCGATGACCCACGAATCTGTATGTCAATGTCTGTATAATTGTGATATATCTGTTCAATGGAAATATTGAAAACAGATGGTTTATGTGTTTATATGATAGTGTATGTATTAGTGTATGTATTAGTATATGTATCATTTCCGCAAGTGTAATGCGCATGACATATCATTTTATCCTTGTTTTTCATCGAATATTAAAGGATAAAATGGTACATCAAATAATAATACACAAATAATAACAAAAAATAATTAATTAGTAATGGTCATATATATGACGTCAATGTAACATTTAGTTGACGTCATATCGGTGACGCCAACTTTTGGTATTACAAATGACGTCAAAATAACGTTCCATTTATGTCACTTGACGGCATTGTCATCAAAATCACTTCATAATCACGTCATTATCACGTGAGCTTGCTAGCTGGGAAGTAATTCTATTGCTGTTTTTTCAAAGTCTTGCATGACAATGTCAGCAACCACTAGTGATAGTGGAGATCCCATAGGAGTTCCGAAAATTTGTTTATAATATTTATTATTAAACATAAAGAATGTGGAATTGAGTACTAATTTAAAATATCATAAAGCCTTGGAAGGAATACATATCTCGGCTGATGAATTTGGTGATTCTAGTCCAATAAATTCCATAAATAATAAATGGCTTATTAACTTAAGTAATGTTGAAATTCCTGATGACGTCAGGTATTTATTACAGTTAGGCGAAGGTTTTGGACTCCCAGTTAACAAATATAATTTTGAATATACATTTATCGAATTAGTAAAAAGCATAGAATGTAATATTTGCAATCGTCCAAATAATATTATTAATTTTGTTAGGAATAATACAGTTCCAATATTAGAGAGTTTTCATAATAAGTTTCCAAAAAAGGACTCAAATAGTAAAATGATAATTGATTGTATAAAGTCTACAAGAAAGTTCACTAATGATCATCCTGAGGTGTTTTTTTCCAGGGCCGACAAGGGTAATGTAACTGTTGTTCTTAACAGGACTGATTATGTTAACAAGGTTGAATTGATGCTCTCTGATAATAATACATATGAAATTATAAAGAAAGATCCTACCAAAAAACTGACCTCAGATTTAAAAAATATATTGGTTCGATGGAAAAACAAAGGTTTTATCGATAACATAACTTATAAAAAGTTACTCACTACTGACGGTAATGTCCCAAGAGCATACGGTTTAATAAAAATCCATAAAATTCATTATCCTATGAGAATCATTGTGTCTTCTGTTAATAGTCCTCTATATTATTTAGCAACTTTTTTACACAATATTATTGATGGTTCCATAGAAAAAACTCCAAGTTTTGTAAAAAATAGTTTTGATTTAATTGACAAAATTAAAAATGTCAAGATTGATTCTAATTCCTCATTGGTTTCTTTAGATGTTGTTTCCCTATTCACTAACATACCTTTAGAATTATCAGCTGAAAGTGTTGTTCGAAGATGGGATTCAATATCAAAAAAGACAAAAATTCCACTTGAGGAATTTATGATAGCTTTTAAATTAGTACTCAATTCCACATTTTTCATGTTTAATAATAAA